AAAATTATTGATATTTATCGGAACGGTATCGCACCTTCTTTTTTAAACTGACGGTTCGAGATGACTAGTAGCCCAATATTTCATTGCACAAAAGTTGTTGGGATGTTGCAGGCTCTTTAAAGCTTTACGTCACCAAGCTCCGTATAGTGTTGCTGTTCCAGGAATATGAAAGTTATTCACTTAGTATTTCACGCTGCATTTCTCTGTAAAATGAACAAAAGTGGAAAATGCTTTTTCTTTTTCTCTTATCTTAACAAAAGAAGAGCTTTTTCTCAGGAGGAAATTACATTATGTATCAGGAGTGGGATGATTAACGCAGGAAGTGGAGACATGAAGTGTAATATTTTTTCAGGTCACAGCAGATATTAACGTATGAATACACTCTTGTATGCAACATTTATGTCACAGCAGCTTAGTCAACGTTGAGTGATTGGAAACGTACTTTGTCACAACAAAAATACGTTTAGTTTCTTTAATATATTTTATGTGGGTATTTCAAATTATGAAAAACGTGATCAAATAAACACACAGAAACTCATAAATAATGGCTACGTTTGACTTAAGTGTCTCAACTTTATGAGATTGCCTCTTATCTTACCGTCAGAGAATATGATATACTAGGGTGGGAACATCTTTGCCTTTATACTGTAGTTATCCTTCTGCTCTTATTTGCATACAGTAGGTACTCTTGCCAAATAGGGAGAGATGCAGGAACATGGGTACCTGTTGTTCAAAACTATTTGTGGTAAAGGAAGACCCTTGTGGCCTGGGGGTTAATCAATGATACATGAATTGCAACATCTTTGGTCAAAAGAAAATCCCCTGACTGACTGATTGTCACACAAATTATTTTAATAAAACAATTGTCCCGGAACGATTATTTGATATAAACAATTCTCTGAGCAGAGGTTGTAGCTGGCTAACTTACTTACATAATATGCTTATACTAAAACCTTCAATCAAAATCATCATCATATAGGAGAATAACGACAAATATTATAACACTGATATAAATAAATACATGATACAGGGTTAGAGCTAGGATTAAGGTTTGGTTTGAAACACTAATTAGCTTCTGGAAAAAATATGTATACCATTTGTCTTTCTGATTTGCTGACAGGCGTCACATAAAAGGATACCTCTAACAAAGACTTTCTAAAGCGCTGTATGAGGTGTATTACAGTTCATATCACCATAGCAATACATCGTCTTGATGCTGTGTTCCCAGATATTTTTTCAAAATCACTGAATGAGTAATTTTCAACTTCCTTTCCATAGAAATGTCTTTAAGAACGTTCATGTCAAACATGTCTTGACCTCCTACTGTAGCACCTGATCAGCTGCATACTGCTGGAAGGTGCACAAAAGACCCTGTTTCATAACGTACATTTATGTTCTATATAAGGACACCTAATGTATAACAAATGTCATTGCAGAGTAGCTCCCAGAATGCATTAGTAATAATGGACTTGTGATAATGTGCCATTTTCTATATGTGGTTTATTCATCTTTTAAACCCAGATTATAAAATGCATTATGGTCATGATGGCCCTATTTTACATGAGCACTACTGCATACGTCACATTTAACCTTACTACAACTGCTGGAAATAGCTAGTCTTTGATTTTGGTCATGTTTTAATTGCATTGGATACAGTTCTGTCAAAAATGCTTTCAGTTTCGATGAATACCAAGGAAAACAACATGCCAGGACATGGCTATTAAAAGGCTTTTGAGGAGCTTATCTCAGGGTTTAACAGTCACATTTTGAAGGCCAAACATACGCCTTTACTTTAATACAAAAGAACCGAAAGAAATCGAGACCTTTATTTAGACGGCTCATCCCCTCTCTTTTATCAATCGCTCTGTATCTTTGGAAACACCAGTGGACCCCTGCAAGCTTCACATTCTCCTTTCCCACATGTTAATATTGATCCAAAAGAGATGCATGAGAAATTGATTATTCTATTCAAACAGTGGCTCAGTTCAGAAAATATAAACAAATTAGATGTGCTGCATCATAGGAACATTAACACTGCTTCAGAAGAACAGCAATTACTGAAAAGGAACACCATCCTTTAAATGTTAAGGGTGTGTACACAAAGTTTTCCTGTACTATGGTAAATGTTTGGCCAACTTAGTTCAGTCTGTATAGTACAGTAATGTTTTTGTATCAGATAATGTTCAAACCTTTGTGGTCTTGTCTGTGTCTATGAATACTTTTTGTTATCCCTTAAGGCAAGAATTATGTCTTCTATCTATGATTTGATGGTAGCCAGCCTAATAGATGGGCCTCTTTTCAACCTCTTTTCAAGAGGAGGAATGAGAGAGCTGATCATCCAATCACTGCAGAGCATTAGATTGAACAAAGTATCATTGCCATGGGAGACCAATTTCAGCTCAATTATATTCACTCCCCGCTGCTCGTGCCCTCTGTAGTGCTCAACGAAGCTGCTGCAAAAGTTCTTCTCATCTTCCAAAGATGTTGAGGTAATTATTTTTCCTTAGTTGTCAAGTTAAGTTCACGGCTATTTTTAATGTGACTGTTGATTCCTCAGTTGCCTTCAAATGGCTTGTGTCGTCCACCATTTTCCAAAAGATGTCCATCACTGTCAAATCTGATCATTGCTTGCCGTTCCTGAGACATTTGTATTGACAGTTTGTCTTGGGATTTAGAGAGATAAATCAATACCTTGTCAATCATGAGTTTGTTCGAAGGCTTGAGCCCTCAGGGAAGATATTTCGTACACACACCCACTCACTTGCATCACTGAAAAACAGCAGGTGGAAAGGCAAAAGGATTGTATAGGGCTCAGGAATAATTTATTACCCTTGTGACATGTCTTCAGGTGTAGAGGTAATTTACACATCTGTGGTATAAGATTATATTACAGGACATGGTGGTAATGAAGTTTTATGGAATATAAATAAACTGAGAAAGAAAATCAGACAAGATATGGCTAAAGAGTTTTGAGGAGACTTATAGGAGAGCAACTGGAAGTAAACAGAGGAAAAGTGAATAAGTGATAGGTCAAGAAACCGTCTGCCGGAGCTGAAACATAAAAAATGAAATATAATAATCCTAGTGAAGAGCCAGCCAGTGGATGCTGTGTTTGGGCTTTGGTGGGGTGTTACATTTTCAGGGGGTGAAAAGCATTGGTGGTCTGTGTGAGCAACACATAACGCTGAACAAACATTACATAGACAGGAAATACATAACATAAAAACAAACCTGACACATATTGATCATTCTTAATTGATGGTATTATGTGAGGTGAATTATTTTTGCTGCTTCTCTGACCTAGGCTGAAATTCATATCAAATTATAAGCAAGAAATATATTTTGGGGAGCTCCAACAAGTCTACTTTTCAACTGTGGAAGACGCTGCTATAACTCTTAAATAACCTCATATGCAAAGGGTAGTAGCATAGTATCATCTTTAGGCTCATACTTGTATGACATGCTTTCCTGCAAATATTCTCAATCTGTTTAACTGAATTCAGGTTTTGTCTGAGATGCTTTGTTTTAGCACATGTCTCTTTAAACCCTACCTCCTGAAAAATGTCTTCTCTGGTTAGAGGTTCTTAGTCTTCTGTTTCTGTGCTATCATTCAGCAAGGGAATTACTCAAACAACACTGTAGAGGCACTTGTTATCATACAAAGGTCCTGATAGCTGCCGCCAAACCAACTTCAACTGTTGCCTGCATCATAAATTCCTTCGAATAACAACTAAAGGCAAACTAGCCCGTAAGCCCACTATTTACCTGTCTGTGAGGCAATCGTTCTCTATGCTGTTAGTATTAGATTGTTATAGTTGAGCTTTCTTCTGTATTACTCTTTCACATACGGACACTTTAAGACCTAAGGCTGCATACATACAAGTCGCTGTTATTAAAGATCCCATGTCATGGCCATTTCTACTGATCATAATTCCATTGTTGAGGTCTACTAGAATAGATGTACAGTATATTGTGCAATTTTCCAAACTCACATTGGTTTGTCATACAGCATCTCTAAAGTATGTGTATTCACTCTCTGTCCTAAACGGCTTGTTGGACTTCCGGCCCCCCCCCTCCCTTTGAGCCCAGTGTGCTCTGATTGGTCGGGACGTTGCGAGGCTCGCTGCTCAGTGAGCTGGCTTACTGGTGTTGTTTCCGGGTCGGCGATACAGCGGGACAGCGGGAAACTCATCCTGAGCACACACAAACACTCACAGCCGAAGTAAAAACAATAAGTGTGGCTTGATATTGAGTAAGAAAAAGGTTTATAAACGCTGTGAGAATGGGTCAGCGGAGAGCATTTCTCCACGATCCCAACTCATCTATTGCCAACCAGGGAGCTCTATGCAAGTCAATGGGACTCCCTGTTAGTTGAACATTTACGCCAAAGGTCCTGGTGTGTGAGGAGCTCTGCGGATTGGTCCATTTTGGAAAAAGAGAAATCTCCAATGAGGCGTTCTGGGACAGCATAGACAGGTATTTTCTGTGTTAGAGTTTTACTCGCTACAGGGTGTACTTTGAGGGGTTTTGACTCTGCAGACCGTTTACATGCATAAAAACCTTCATAACACAGAAGGGGACGGGTAATAACCGGAAAAGCATGACATGGGACCTTTAACTTATGACACTAACTAAGAATACATATAAATAAATGATAATAATAACACACACTATAAACAGCAAGAAAATAAATGTTAAACTATTAAATAATATAAAGAGATATATATAGCTCCAACAAGTAGATTTCCCTAGTATCATTACTTTTACACAAATAATTGTGCTTTCTACATTTTACATTTTCAAAACATAAATTAATTAAAATGGGGGAATTGCTTTGGCATTTCCTATTAAGTAAAATTAAAGAAGTTAGGGCCAGATAATTTTTAACCACGAGTATATGCACTTTTACTTGAGTGAAGGATGTGTGTCATGTTTTCCATCTCTGGTTAGAACAGTTGGATGAGCTTACATGCAGCTAATTCAATGTCTCTCTCTTGTGACAGCAAGGGTTTGGAAACATTGATGGGGAGCACTGGTTAGGTCTGGAGAACATCTACTGGCTGACTAACCAGGCCACCTACAAGCTGCTGGTCACTCTGGAGGATTGGATCGGACGTAAGACTTACGCAGAGTACGCCAGCTTCAGAATCGAGTCTGAGGCTGACTTCTACCGGCTGCGAGTGGGACGATACCAGGGAAACGCTGGAGACTCGCTGACCTGGCACAACGGCAAGCAGTTCACAACACTGGACAAAGACAACGACGCCTACACAGGTGAGGGAATTAAGTACTAGAGAAGGCTATCATAACTGTTGGTGTGCTTTCACTGTGGCTGAGAGGGATAAGTGGTTTTTTAAACAGAAGGTTGTGGGTTCGATCCCAGCCCGTGCAGACAACATGTCCATGTATCCTTGATACACCGAGTTGGTCCCGATGGCATGGTGTATAAATTTCAGCTGTTGTCATTCATACAGAGCAAATTGTCTCCCGCAGAAGAGAATGTTCCCCAAAGGGAGCTCTACTGTTCCCATTTTAATTAAAAATCATACAAAAATGCCAATTATGCAGTATCTTTTCTCATCTACTAAGATTTGTTTTCAACTTTAATTGACTGAATTGATCTGAAAATGTGGCTTATTAACACATGAATACTGTGTTATATATTTGAACATATATATTTAAGAAGTACAATAGCAGATGTTTAATTTGTGAGCCATATTGTGAGCCATTATACTTTTAGAATTTGCTGAGGGCAAACCGATTCAAAATGGTCCACGGGCCGCATTTGGCCCCCGGGCCGTAGTTTGGACACCCCTGGTCTAATCTAAGTCCTTGTATCTCCAGGTAACTGTGCCCACTACCAGAAAGGAGGGTGGTGGTACAACGCCTGCGCTCACTCCAACATGAACGGCGTGTGGTACCGGGGGGGGCATTACCGCAGCCGCTACCAGGACGGGATCTACTGGGCCGAGTTCAGAGGGGCAGCGTACTCTCTGAAGAAAGTGACCATGATGATACGACCCAATGCAAACACCGTCCATTAACACACTTTCTCATTTAGTCTGGGCTCTTAAAGCTAAATTGCACACAAAATAACTCACAAGTGAAGTGGCTGGAATATCTTTGCTTGAGTTTAAAATACAAAACTTACAATAGGAATCTAAATAAAGTCAGCATTGCATGTTTAATAGTAACAAAAGGAATTTATATCCAGAGATCAAACTTGGTAAAACACTGGTATTTCAGAGTATTATTGGTGGCCATATTGAGTATGTATGTATAATATATAGGGATCAACTCTACAGGAAATAGATCTGGTTATTTATTTCCCCCCCAAACATTTTATCATCATTTCCTTTGTTGCTTTATTTCATCTCATTTTGGTAGGATAAAGGTTAATAAAACAATGGATTGAAGGTCTTCTGACCACTGAATGTCAAAGTGATCAAAGTCAACTTTTCTAAATGAACAAGGAAATACCAGGGACTGTTAAAAAGGTCGAATCAGCACTGTGTTAGTGCGCGGATATAGTAAGCATCAGGTATTCTGTGTGTATATATGTGCTGCTTCATTAAGATTATTTTTATCATCTGTATGTTACCAATCTTGCAATAAAATACGCACAACTCTGCTAGTGTTTCCAGTGATTGAACTCCAATCTTTCATGACACTACCCTCCGCCTTCCTTCTCACAATGGGCAACTACCAATGGTTGTACAGCAATACTTAACATCGAGTAAAGCATAAATAAATTAGCAACAATAAAACAAATAGTAGCACTTGCAACCAGTAAGAAATGCTGATTTGAGATGTTACTCTAATATCAAAAACGTATTATTTGTTTATTATTTAATTATCCAGACCTGTCTCCCTTTGAAAATATGTGGCGCATTATGAAACGCAAAATACGACAACGTACACCCCGGACTGTTGAGCAACCGAAAGTCGTACATCAAGCAAGAATGGGAAATAATTCCACCTAAAAAAAGCTTCGACAATTAGTGTCCTGAGTTCCCAAACGCTTATTGAGTGTTGTTAAAAGGAAAGGGGATGCAACACAGCGGTAAACATGCCTGTCCCAGCTTTTTTGGAAAGTGTTGCAGTCATCAAATTCAAAATTAGTGAATATTGGCAAAAAAAAACATTAAGTTGACCTGTTTGAACATCTCTTCTCTTTGTAGTGTATTCAATTCAATATATGTCAAAAAGGATTTGCAAATTATTGTATTCTGTTTACGTTTTAAACAACGTCCCAACTTCATTGAATTTGGGCTTTGCAGCAGACACACACAAATCACTTCAGGGGACATTACATTGACTTACATGCATTTCCTGGAGACTTATCCTAACCATAACCAACACATGCCTAACCCTAACCAAGTCTTCACCCTAAAATTCATGATTCCCCTCATGGGGACCTCCATTTTGTCCCCATAAGGGATGCGAGTCCCCACACGTGACTGTGTAAACAGATGCAGGTCCCCACAAGGATAGTCACACACACACACACACACACACACACACACACACACACACACACACACACACACACACACACACACACACACACACACACACACACACACACACACACACACACACACACACANACAATTGGGGAGCTTTAAGAAGCTATCAAAAATGTTGGTCAATGAGTACATTTTTAAACAAAAAGAGACAAATGTAGGTATTTAAATCATGACCAGATTTTGAAACACCCTAATATATTATGGGCTCAGAACAGTCTCATAATACACACATGCACACAGAAGGATTCAAACTTCTATTTCATGATCTGCAAAAGGATTCACATTTGTATTTCCGGATCCACACTTGTGTTTTTCAATGCACACACAAATGTGCTCCGTTTCATATACATGTAAATAAAATCTAAATACAGAAAAAGTGTTACAGATGTATTTTTGATCCTCACATATTTGTTTTCCGTTTAAATCCCCTGAGCCAGCAAACACAAACCGCTCTCTGTGCATGGATCGCTCTGCATTCCTGTGTGGGTTTTTTGAGACTCCCCTGCCGCTCACCCGATTCGTACTTGTAATTTGTTCTATCTATAGCCAATCATATGTCTCCTCAATTCTAAGCCAATCACATGAGCGCGCCCCCACGAGGGTAGGATTTATTGCGTTCATGACACTTCATATACTCATTTTGCGCTGTCCAGTCAGCTCGCTAAACAGAGGGCGGAGCATCAGGTGATCATGCAGAGCTGCGTGTCTCCGTCAGACTCAGCAGCGGATCTGATGTCTCTTTCGCGTCCGGTTATACTTCACTCGCGTTTATGTTCATATCGATCAGATCCAGCTCTCCTGATCGGCCTTTATAGAGAGCACCGATCAAACTATTAAGAGTGAATATCGGCCGATATTGACCGGCGGGGCTCCCCCCGTTGACAGTTCACTGTCTAGCACTGGCTTCGTAATGCACTGATCGATTAGGCTAAGCTAACCTGTTGCTGCTCCCTCCACACTCACAACAACTTCATACAGAGATAAATAATGCAGCTGTATTCGCCATAAAGGAAACACACATTTAAAACGGTTTTGCCTGCCGTTTTTGTGTACACAAGCATTCATCAATGGTTCGGAAAGTGGCGCTGTACCTTAATAATATAAAGGCTTGTATTTGCGTGCATTTCCTGTTCGGAAAGTAGCAATGCACTGAGAGTGGAGGTGTCCTGAGATTAGCGCCTGCAGGCAGGCTCCATGGACCTGTCAGCTGTGATTGGCTTAGAATTGAGGAGACATATGATTGGCTAAAGATAGAAAAAATTACAAGTACGAATCGGCTGACAGTCAGGGGAGTCTCAAAAAACCCACACACGAATGCACAGCGATCCGTGCACAGAAAGCGGTTTGTGTTTGCAGGTTCAGAGGAAAACAAATGTGAGGATCAAAAATACATCTGTAAAACCTTTTTCACTATTTGGATTTTATTTTCATGTATATGAAACGGAACACATTGTGTGTGCATTGAAAAACACAAGTGTGAATCCTTTTGCGGATCATGAAATACAAGCGTGAAACCTTCTGTGTGCATGTGTGTATTATGAGACTGTTCTGAGCCCATATTATATCATTATCAATTTAGGGTGTAACGATAGGATATTTCTATGTCATGATTTTACAGTACACGTTTAGAGAGTTTTATCATAATAACTATTATGAGTTGAAATGCAGCACGATAGCATATTAAATGTACTACTTAATTACCATCTGCTGTTAGAATATATATTATTAACCATCAACGTACAATAACGACCATGCCATATACTGATCCTGCTGCCGTCCGTCCCTTTAATTCACACACAAGCCCACTGATGATTTTCTTTGAATACAGGAGATAATCAAATGTACACGGTAATATATGAATTTAATGCTGTTGCTTGTAACAAGATATCAGTATATGAATGCAACCCATTGGCGTAAACTCAACTCACACATACGCTTATCATAGATGTCCAATGCAATTAACTGTGTTGCACTGACTATTCATTTTGTTTGTTTTTAATCACAGTAGGCTCAATATCATTAATTTAATTGTGTCATTATGTAAAATAATTACATCATTTGATCATATAAGCACAACATGATTCCACATGATAATACTTAATCATTGCCAAACTATATCCTTTGCACTTAGGACTTAACCGGTTGCTATGAAAACAGGTAATTTTCCAAAATGTTTTCCCCACATGCAGAGATTATAAGAGTACAACAGTAAAAACAACCTTTTCTGATTGCCTTGTTTGTCTCAACAAAAAAATCCATCCATTCAGGCACAAGTCATGTAACATGAAAGTAAGATGTTTAGTAACTCAATTAATATCAGATTAGGTCAAGCTTATAAATGAAGGGTCTCATTGTGAGTATAATTCAATGGTTGTATTGTGTCAGCCTGGATGATTTCAACATGGCCGCAGTCTATACAGGCTTAATGAAAACTAAGCAGCAGTGATGCAGAGTTTATTATCAATGTTCCGACTCTTACTGTGATGGAAAACCATGTTAATGAAAGCTCTCCCTCACTGGTATTGGCAGACTGACATACTGTTCACTAGCTTGGCTGCACTACACAGGATGTTGCACGACAATGTTTTATTTACACACAAGTATATTCTTAAATGAGAGCCTGAAAGCAGAAAAGATTAGAGTGTTGTGTGGTGGAGTTTTTGAACAGAATGGAAACGACATTTTGAGAAATGATCAGACCTTGTGTACCTCCTCTGTGAATGGAGTTGCTACTTTTGTCAAGGTGTGCAAATGCATGTCTGCAGCGATATGCAACACACGGGGGCCAGGAAATTAATCTTGAATGACTGCGTTTGTAATTGAATCACAGCACTCTTTCGCACTGCTATCGTTTGCGGAATAATTACGAATAATTGTCGCAGAGAAACCATGTCATTAATGAGTGGAGGCAAGGAACAAAAAAAAAGGGGACGCAAAATGTGGCAATGATGAATCTCGATGTGTTCCAGAGAGCCAGGAAACAGAGAACTCCTTTTCCCCTCTGGTTTGGAAACGATGCCAGCGCTGAACTCTAATGGCCTCCTGTTTGCCTGTCACTGCAAGAGAGAGAGGAAGTTGAATGAGTGGAATTAGATTGCATTTCCCATCCCCTTCATTGTTATATTTGGTCAAATAACACATTGCTCTCCCACTCACAAGCACGAGCGAAAAGCAGTTGGTGTTTAATCAATTCTTTTGGAAAGGGAGTGAGGAGGGGGGGGCCTCGCTGTGTGCCTGCCGCTGTGCACAAAATGGAATAAATGTGACATTAGGGACACGGGTATCATTACCTTGATGAATTACGGAAGGTATAACGATTATGGAAATTGTCATCGACTGATCATTCATCTCAATTTATTGCTGCTCAGTGCCACTGTGGCCCTGCAGTCTGAAATGTTATCATGTCAATAGTGCTACTGGCTGTTATCAATGCTTGCTTTGCTCTCACAAATGCAGAGCGCTGTAGGTCTGTTGTATGCCATCCATCGCAATCCAGAGCTCAACAGCGGACTCCTCTTGATAGTTCTTAAGGTGAGAGGGGAAGCTAATTGAAAGATTGACCGGTCCGAATTGTAGAGTGGTCATAGACTGGGAAGAAGATGAAAGGCTATCAATGAAAGGCTCCATGATGATTTCAGCGAGAGGAGTTCAATCTCAAAACCATTCTCTCAATCTCACCTGGATTAAAAAACAGCTCCAATAACTCACAGAGGCATGATAATTATGTCTTAAAATAGTTGTAGAGGTGATGTGGAGGATGCGTGGCGGGAAAGCAGCTGAGCTTTTTATTTCTTTTTGGAATTGTTGATTTATGTCTCCCTGTTCGGTAGTTAAAAATATTAACCCAGCCTACAGCTTATCGAAAAATTAAAAACCAAACTACAAATTACGCACATAGCATTAACACCGTCGTTATGTTAATTATGTCTTTGAAAACAGAGTAATCGTAATATAGCAGCATGCCACAACACACTGAAGTGCGTCCCAAAGAGATCCCTGCAAAGATATTGCTCTGCGCTCGCCTTCGACAATTTCAGGCCACCTCGGGGAGCTTGTTAGTACTCTGCATGTTTGCAAGTATTATCATAACACACCTACAATA